TCAGTTTACAACATGAAGAAAACACGGAAAAAGATGAGATAGCATCTGCCCTGTTCAGATCCTGCCTCAGTCATAACCTAGAGGGCAAGCTTAGCTCATTGTAGGAGACAAAAAGTAGGACAAGGTAACCAAGTCAACTGTAGGTGATTCCCAACTTGTCAGCCTGAGAAAGGATGATCTAAAGGATGAGCTGTTGAACTCAACAGGAATGGAAATATAAATAAAAAAGTCTGGGGAAAAGTAGAGACCAATCATTTAAACCAGGGACTTGGAGCAAACAAGGAACTTTTGCCCCCCACTGATGTCCTAGATAAATAGTATACCGATTCTGCCCTGGGACTGCTGTTAATCTATGAAATATTTAGGGTTTTCCCACTCCCACTTTTTGATTGCAATGGCTGTGAAGGGCTTTACTTGTTCTCAGGTTAGGGGATGAATTTTAACTTCAGTCTTTTGATAGAAGCAGAAGTCTTGTTACATAGGGCACGTGAACACTTACACCATGAGCGAAGGATGCAGCATACCCCTCACCAAAACACAAGCAATGGAGAGGAACAGATTGGCTCACACAGCACTCCATGAAATCCTCACTGCGAGCAGTGCAAGCGTGCAGCTAACAATTAAATCTGTAAGAAACAAATCAATTAATCCAACAATAGTGTTGGCCCTGAAGCAAGTCAATTGAATTAACAAAGCAGGACAGTAAAGCAGGCTAACAGAAAAAAGTAAACGTAGAGTCATTTAACAGACACCAAGATGTCCTGGTTCCAGCCAAGCCCGAAAGATATTTTTACCAACTCCTGGCCACGCAGCTCCCTCTGCAGCCAAATCTCTGAGGGACCAGACCCTATAGCATTGCTGAGAACCTCTCGGCTTAAGACTTGAGTGCCTTCTCCTCTTAGAAAAGCTCATCTCTTAATCGACAGCAGGCAGTGTCCAGGGAAAAGAGGCTGACCAGGCTGAAGTTACTGTTCTGTTTACTCCTCTGAATCCTAACTGCTCTGCTTGGATCAATCCAAGCCCTTCTGCACCCCAGATCCGTAAACTGTTCGCTAGGTTATCCCAACCAACCCACTCGAGTGAACATTTGCAAGCCCAGACCTGCAAGGTTGAACCCAAAAGACATCATCCATGACTAGGGCAGAGCTGCAGAAATTATCTCCAAAGGTGTGCATGACACTTCGTTAACACTCACCTCCATGCAGATGGGCTTCCAAAGGAGCAAAGTGATACTTAAAAAAAAAAAATACATACAACTTGCTAGAAAATTATGTGCATGAGTTATAAGCACGATGGCTAGTGATCAAACTGAGATCACTACGAAGAGACGACTTAAAGGGTAACATATGGGGTGCCACAGTAGCAGCACATTCTCCAGTAGAGCAGCAAGCCAGAGGGAGGCAATGCCACCACGACACTGGTAACCAACAAGAAGATGGTGGTGCCATGCACTGCACACACATTCATTCACAGGTCAGTCATTCACAACAAAATGTGTTATGTTAGAGCACTGTGGCAGAAAGCGAGAAAAAGGCTTTTATGCCACAAAAAAGGCTGACATAAGCAACTCGGGTACTTCTCAATACCATCATAGCTTCCTACTTAAAGATATCTTCCAGGAAATAACGTAAATACGTTCTTTTTTCTGCTACCACCCTACCTCCTCCTGTTCATGCATTTCTGCCTGTCTCAGACACAGCTATCAGCAAGTTCCAAAGGACACCACAGGTTTGATTATATAGGTGATACGGTTTTACATTTTCCCCAGTTGAAAGCCTTCCTTTTTTTTTAGCCCCCAACCTTTGCTCCTGCTACAGCTGTCAAGTTCTGCAAACAAATCCACTTCTCTGATTCTGTCAGGTCCCAGCAGGTCAAAATTGTGTAAAATATACCATATACATAATCACAAAATCATAGTAATGCACCTAGATGAAATCAATGACTTCAACTTCAGCCCTTACAAAACAAGAACATACTAATCCCCTTTTGCGAAAGAGGACAGCAATGTCCAGAGAAGTCATGAGTTGTAAAAACTGTACCTTGTTTTCCAAGTCCCAGTTTAAAGACAGAACAAAATACTCTTTGCCCCTATTTAAAAATAAATGCTAAACTTTCTGAAGATGCTCCCAACCATCCATCCTGCTGATCTAGCTCAGCACGATATGGAAAGCCATTGTCCCTACGAACGGATCCATTCTTTGCATTATGACTTAAGACAGGCTACTACTACAAACGTCGTCTTCAGGCAGACCAGAAATCCAAAGGTACAGCTCCTCACCCAAAATCCTGTCACTTTGATGCTACAGAAGCCCTGACTCCAGAATGCTGTCGCTGACTTTACAGAAGGTACCATGCTGGAAGTGACAGGCTTTGGTGGGCTGTCAGTTTTGACCGTCTCTGCTTCAAGGTAAGGGCATAAGGAGAGAAGCCACACTGCTGCCTGTAAGCTGCTAATGCCACAAGGCTGGCAAGTTCTTGGAGTTTGTCCTTCAAATGGAGGGAAGGGAAAGGCTTTATGAAGCCTGCGTGCCTACACTCCCGTTCACAGGAGAAAAGGGCAAGCAGGAGCGTCAGTTCTCAGTGCTGGGCCAAAGTCTAGCTCATGTGAAACGGTTCCCCTTCCACCCCTACTCTGCCCTCTGCTCCTCTCTCCAGAGTACCACACATACAGCAAACCAGAGGCACCTTATCATGAATAGAGACCACAGACGGTGGCAACGAGAATACTCCTCCACTAGCAGTGGGTGCTACGTATGCAGAAAAGAATTGCCTTTATAAAAAAAAAGGTACAGAGAATTTTCCAGTTCACTCAGGAAACCCTAAACTCGTAATCAGCTGCTTAGGCCATGGTAGTGTCCTTGCTAGCTACCACCTTCAGCCTCAAGCAACATCTGCAGAGAAGAAAAAAAAAAGACAACACTTTCCAAGGACATCAAGGAAAATGAATCATTCAAAAAAATTGAAGCATACAAACTGTTTACCAAAGACCACTTAAGAGTTGAGCAAAGGGATATTCCACACCGTGTGACATCATGCTTGGCATATAAAGCTGGGGGAAGAAGAGGGAAGGGGGGGACATTTGGAGCAATGGTATTTGTCTTCCTAAGTCACTGTTACATGTGATGGAGCCCTGCTGTCCTGGAGATGGCTGAACACCTGCCTGCCCATGGGAAGTGGTGAAGGAATTCCTTGTTCTGCTTTGCTTGTACTGAACTGGTTTTATCTTGACCCACGAGTTTTGTCTTTTACTGTTCCGATTCTCTCCCCCATCCCAGCAGCGGGAGCGAGCGGGCGGCTGCGTGGGGCTGAGTTGCGTGGGGCTGAGTTCTAGGGTCGTGGGGTTAAACCACGACCCTAGAACAGAATAAAGACAACGGCCTCTTACCACAGTCCTCTCCCAAAACACAGACCAAATGTCAAGCAGGAGCAAGGTGCTGTCATGATCACACACTAATTCAGCTTTTTAAAGAGAGACAAGTAAAATGGAGCAGTTCTTTGGAAGCAATACTGCAAAAGGGTGTTGCTCCTTTCCCACAGGAATCACAAGAAACCACCCTTTTGCTGCCAAAGTCAAACTGCCATTGAACTCACGTTCATTATTCGAGCAAATCTGAGTTTATGTAGGTAGCTTTGAGTTCACTTTTCCACCTCCCTTCTTGTATTTTCCCTCTTCTCTCCACATCCAATGCTTTCTTTCTCCCTTTTCTCAGCTGTGTTATCCCCTCATCATTTCTCTCTTCAGTTACTTGGTCCCAGTGGGCCAGAGCACCGCTCCTCTTCAGTCCTCCGGCATTGTCGATACCGCGGCAAAGGGCACATCAATAGCGCTGGATTAGTACTGAGAAAGAAAAAAAGAAACGTCAGTTCCTGAGAGAGATGTTCCATCTCTTTCAAAGGCCGTTTTGCAAGGCCTTTAAATTCTAAAAGTACATGTGAGTTCCTGCAGTTAGAGGAAAAACGTGACCGAGCTGCAAAAGTTTCAGCACTTCTCGGTTTAAAGCGAGCGGCACGCTGGTGAACCACAGCGAGCGATGTTTGAAAGCTGCTACTCCGACATAAAAGCAGACATCAGGCGTAAATTTCATATTTATTATAACAAAAATTATGACATGTTCATTTGTGCATTCAGCTTTAATATAACTCTTGGTATGTAAATGTTCTACAGCAAATGAGCTCTATACAATCATGCTGGTTGTGGCAGCAGTAAGGAACACAAACAAAACGTGTCTGTAAAAGTAAGGAAAGAAAGAGATCAGAGGAAAAAAGTGAGTTTCTTTAAATGGTCTACACCATCTGGGCTCTAGCTAACTGGTACACAGCCACTCAGTCCGTTACGCTCACCGACCGTGGCCCAAAGAGTCACTTCAGAAAAAAAGGTCAGTTTTTCCAGTTGTGTCCTTAATGCCAAGGCTACAAAACATGGAAGCGTCACTATACAACACTGAGCTATTTACAGGAATTTCCCAATCAACTGTTCTCTCAGAGAAAATTAGTGAATCTCAGTGACTTAAGTCACCTGAAAGAGTAAAGCAACTCCTAGGAGTTAGTCTCCATATTCTACAAATGTCTATCATTTTCAAGACCAAAAAAAGCCTTTTCTCTCAAAGAAATACAGTATTACAATATTACTTAAATCATTTAGCACTGGCTACTGCCCTGCTTTTCAAACAAAACAAACAAGCCATTTTAAAAAATATTACATCATCATCTGTTTCTCAGCAATATATTAAACCTTTTTATTATTTTTTTTGTTTTGTTTTTACACTTGATATGTTAAGGGAAGGTTAACTATTTTAAACTTTACCAGTCAAGCGTCTCTAGAAGAAAGTCAATGAATATTAAACCTAACAAACTGAAAAGCTGCAGTTATCTGTAGTGGCAGGATAAGGAAAAGGAAGTATATAAAGGAAAAGGATAAGGAAAACCCCTGCTGTAATGTGGGCCCACTGGGTCCCGCACTCAAGTCTCCTTGTTTGTTTCTGAGCAGTAAGTAGAGTGGGTCATAGTGGTGTGTCGTAATAGTCTGCCAGGTGGTCCATGGGGTACTGCCGCGGCTGCTGCTGTTGCTGCTGCTGCTGTTGTTCCTGGTGCTGCTTCATAATCTCCTTGACTTCTTCTTCAAGCTCCGGTGGGATGATGAACTGGTCGTCGGGGTCGGGCTGAGCTGGAGCAGCAAAGTAGCCCCCCGTTTTTCTGAGCGGCGCATCCGTCGCAACTTCAATTAAGTTATGGCT